ATAACTGAATCAGTGGTGCCTTCTAAAATAATGGAACAACAGTCTTACCTTCGGGAAAGGACTATAAACTCCTTAAAGAACCGTAAAGTCACTCTATCAGGTGGTTCTTGAGAAAACCAAGGACCACCGGTGACAGCGTTTCAAAAAATGAATAGGATCGAGTTGATCAAGAGAAAGATGAACTGCAACAACAAGAAAATGACAACAAACTATCTTAGTAAATTCAAGATAACAGTAGCAACAACTAAGTATATGATCATTATAATACATCTAACAAATAATATTTGGTCACTTATAATGTGATAATTTGAACTGACGCATTTCATTATCATTTGTTATTTTTTTATATGTATATGCATCTTTGGCATTCTATTTAGCCAAAAATTTATTTCAAGTATATTGGATAAAACAATTAGCAGTTTAATTTTTGATAAGATTTTAAAAAGTCTGATGGATGGGATAAACAAGTTCTTTATATATAGTAATGTGTTTAACCTCTTCTCAAAGATCAATTGTCTATTTAAAAGTTGCTAAAAACTTTGTAAACGTGGTTTTGCTATCAATAAAACTTTTTAATAACCTATTCATAGATTCACCCCTTTGTGTCAATAACATGTTGGCAAAAAAAAATCTTTTAGATATGCTGAAACCCATCGTTCGTGTAATTGATTAAGGATATTAAGATATGATCTCATTTCTACATAGTTAACATTTTCCATAATGCAATTCCATTACTTTTCAAATTTATCTTTATCTATATAATAATTAAGACACTTGATGAGATTCAAATGAAACACAGTATAATTTAATCCAAGTTTAGAAGTCATATTAGACTTGATATTCTTAAGTATATGCCATATACAAAGACCATGCTTAGTGTTATGTTTATTTGTTATTATAGAATGAATGATATCACTTATCGCAAGATCATTATCTGTGAGTATTATTTTAGGTGCAAAAAAAAATATGGAGAAAAGATTTAAAAAGTTATTCAAAACTTGAACAGATTTTATTTTGAAGTAAAGCACCAGCCATACAATAAGAAAGACCATTATTGGTAACACCCATAAATACTTCAAAGGGCATTGAAAAATAATTACATTTGTATATATTATCATACACATTAGTATCATTAAAACATATATATTTTCATTTTTGTGATGGATACATTCAAATAATATACTTTAAACAATTTTTACAATTCAACTCAAATTCATAAGAAAACTCTAGATCTTTACTACATTTTTGTTGAAGGAGGGAAAGAAAATCATGTGCTTAAAATTTATTACATGTTATATAATTAATACTAATCAAATTGTATACATCCTTGATTATCCATTTTTTCACAATTGGTCCATACTATACTTGTATGCAAAATTATTTTGAAGTTCCAAAATTACAATTTCAGGAAAAAAAGTTAAAATAGTTTTTCATAGAAGATTTAAAGATACATATAACTGGATACTTTTTTTACTTCCATATATAGAATAGATTCTGCATAAATATCAAAAAGTCGAAATATCTCAAAAATTCAAAATCAATTTTGGAAACATGTATAGTTCATACTTTACTACAAGTAGAGATTATATTTGTAATATTGAAATGTCTACTTTTTTTTGTAAGAAAAATTTCTTTCTGAATATCTACTGGTATTTCACAATTAAAAGAAAAAATTTGTATAAGTTGAATTAGAATAAATGAATGGTTATAGTGAAGTATAGCTTGTGAAATATAATATTTTTCATCATCCAAATTATAATTGAAATGAATTAGCCATGAACAGTTACACTTTTTTGATACCATATTTTAGCTCTTTCTGTTAGGATCTTTATACTTAGGTTTGAATTCACCATAACAATTACAAGTAAAAACTTGAGTATAACATACACTGTCACTATAGTTATTACCCTTATAAAAAATAATGTTGAACTCATTTATTTCAATATATTGGTCTATGACATATTTAAATGTTTCAAGGGAAGAATAGGTTTGACCATATTGAAAAAAAGAATTTTCTAGTTCCTTATTATTGGAAATTTTTTTATTTCCTGGTTTTTCATAATTTTGTACATAAATAGTCAGATTGAATATTAGAAAAAATCTTTGTAAAGTAGAAAAACAAATTGTATGAAGTAACAACTCACTATCAATGTTTTATTTTTGTAGGTCTATATCTTGTTCTATACTTCTATACTTGATATAATTATCACCAGCAATTAACAGAGATTGGTTTATTAATTTTTAAAACCAATGGAAGTTTTATTTTGTTTATTGAATAGCTTTAATCTTGCTAACTTCAAAAGAATTGTCACAAGTATAAAAGTTTCTCAATAGTAGATTAAAAAAAATCAAAATTGATAAGTACGGTATTTCCTTCCTGAAGCTCTTTGAAATAAAGAATGGACATGGGAAAATTTTGTTTATCTGCACACGTACTAAATATAAACTAAGTCATCAGAACCACGTGATAATGTGTTGTCTGGTAATCTAATCAACATGACAGATGATGATCACGTATTTTAATGTATTTTTATTGATTGAAAGACCAGAGATATATATGTTATATATCTCTAGTCAGAGATACCTATAATAATCCTATGTAAAAAAGTCTTTATATAATTACAATTGTTTATAATCATTTTTTTTATTGGTCATGATTATACATGTTTTTAAAATTGATTTTGGATTTTTGAGATATTTCGACTTTTTGAGATTTATGTAGAATCTATTCTATATATGGAAGTAAAAAAAGTACCCAGTTATGTGTATATTTAATCAAAGAATAAATCTGAATGGTCAAAAAATTTTAGATTTTAAGTAAAATAATTTTGTCTTTTATGAAAAACTATTTTAACTTTTTTTTTTGAAATTGCAATTTCGGTTTCCAAAATAATTTTGTGTGCAAGTATAGTCATGATAATGTGATTATAAAAAGACTTAATTGTAATCCTCTTTTTTTAACTAATTTTTTTATTTCTCATATCACTTATTGTTTAAAAGATGTGTATTATAGTCTACAAAATACCATATTAACCCTCCTCCTTTTGAAACTATCAGGTATCTTCATTTGAATATATTTTGAAATTGGATCTTATTTTGAGCATGAGTTTAATTATTTCCCTACTTAAGTTGTGGTTTTTTTTATTATATTGTAATATAATTTTTTCTTCCCATATTTGTTCTACTGTCCACATGAAGTTTTGTAATTGTTGAATTCTTATTATTGTAATTACTTCATTGAGGTTGTTTTAATTTACTCTTTGAAAGAATTCAGATACTTGCATTTGTAGTTGCCTGTCATTTATATTAAATATTCTATACCCTATTTGTGAATAAATGAGCATGTCCTGACTAGTCCTACTCTGTGTTTGAAGGCTTTCCCTATCATGTTATTAATTTCTGACATACATTGTTAGGTAAAACCATATTCATAAGTAGGTATTCTATTTGTAGAAATAAAACGTAGTTTATCAGGTATCTTATTTGTTTGTCTGTGATTCTTTGAAGTGGAGTAGACTGAAAGTTGTTTATAACATTTTTTTTAAGTTGCCGTTGAAATGGTTTTTTCCCTCCTTCGGTTACATCAGGAAATATTAATAGGCAAAGGATTTTTACATTTTCGACTTCGCTCGTGATTTGGGAAGTGTAGAGCGCTTTTCTACTAAGATATTTCTAAGGTAGAAAGAAAATCCTTGCTCTTGACTACAAAATGATATGTGTTTCATTCCAATAGCATCGATATTCACGGAGTTATTCAATTTTAAAGAAAAACATCTGTAAAAAAGTTTGTGCAAGATTTCTGCACGATTTTTTATGGACGTTTTTCTTTAAACTAAAATAACTCCGATGTTACCAGGATGAAACATATATAATTTTGTAGAAAAGAACAAGGCCTTTCTTTCTTTCTTAGAAATATCTTATTAGAAAAGTGCTCTACGCTCCTCAAATCGCGAAAAATGTAAAAAATCGTCTGGAGGCAACAAAATACTCCGGAGGCCTTTGCCTATTAAATTTCCTGATTGATGTCAGTCACAGGTCAAATACAACATCAGCAAATTTTAATAGGCGAAAATTTCCGGATTTTTTTTGACTTCGCTCGCGATTCATGAAACGTAGAGCGATTTTCTACTAAGGTTTTCTAAGATAGAAAGAAAAGCCTTGTTCTTGGCTACAAATTTTACGTGTTCCATTCCAGTAGCTGCGATATTCGTGGAGTTATTGCGGTTTAAAGAAAAACGTCGTGAAAAAAAATCGGGCGAAAATTTCCGTAATAATTCCACGAATATTGCTGCTACCAGAATGAAACACATACCATTTTGTAGCAAAGAGCAAAGCTTTTCTTTCTATCTTAGAAATACCTAGTAGAAATCGCTCTACGTTTCATAAATCGCGAGCGAAGTCGAATAAAACGTAAAAAAACGCCCGGAAATTTTCACAGTTGTCGAAAATTTCCTAATGCATTATAAACAAATATTATATCCGAGATACTTTATAATTTTTCATGTAAAATATCCTGGTATTTTAAAAAAATCAATAATTTTTATTCTCAGAAACTTGGCTTGAACATAAAGTGATGTGCAAACTTTCTCACCATCCAATCAAAAGTGTCAAAATAACAGATAATTTCTCCCAATTTAATAATTTATAAAGATGTATTCAAATCCATATCTACACTTCTATCCACCGCCACCACATCCGCCTCCTCCCAAAAACCTTACTTTACAAACAGATCCTCGACATGTCTTAAGTTTTCGTGAATTCTATCAGAAACATTTTAACACGCATAGAGATTTTTTTCAATTTGCTTTAGATCCAAAACCTTTTAGTTTATGGAGAATCGAAAGTTGCAATTTTAATTGGCAGAATCAGCCTTTTTATAAGTATCCTTATGAGTATAATGAAAGAAACCGAGAACGTAACTGGAATCAATATCGAGAATCAAGAGAAGAGGAGGAAGAACCGTACGATGAAGAGAATCAACCGTATGAAGATTATGTAGATTATGAAGAAAATAAGGAGAATGAGGAAAAAATGCAGTTCGTTTTGAGCGATGAGGCCATTGCTATGTTTCGCTTTTCCGAGTTGAGAATATTGAAACGTAAATTTGATTAAAATAATAATAATTACAAATTATAATATAAAATTACTGTTACATTCTGTTATATTTATTAATATTTTATATTAGTTAAAGAAAATGAAGAAAATGGGAAGGTAGAGTATTCCTCATCATCACCATCAACCACATATGTTACTTCTGAACCAAACCCAGCAGAATTACAACCTTCAAATTTATCAGCTAAAGAAGCTCGAGAATTCTATGGAGATTCATATTCTACTATTAAAGTTATGGAAGCAACATTGAACAATATTTATGTAAAAAGTTATGAAATTAAACAAGATCAGAATAATGATAATGAAAATAATGAAGAGGAGAATATGGTGGTATATTGGCCAGTTTTACCTTTGAAATTTACATAAAATATTAATAAAGATTCAAAAAAAGGATTTAAAACTTTTAGAATTATTTAAATATGTTACAGAAATATCAAAATATACATTTTAATCATTTTCATTAAACTATTTAAAGCTTAAATTTTACCAATATATTTATTCAGATTTAAGAAAAATGATTACCAGAAAACTACTATTTGTGCATAAACCACTTCATTTTTATATTAGACTCCCATATATATATAATAAGGAGCTCTTTGCTATTAACTCTAATTATTTGTAACACAAAATAAAATCACTACTGGTTAAATGACAAATTTTTTGGCACAAATAGACAAGGAGGTTTGAGGTAGATTCAGGTAAATATATAGAATAGGCAGGAAGATTTGAGTTAGATTTGGAAATAGGTAGACATATACAGGTCAAATACAAAAGAATTTCTGTACAAAAAGAAATTCTGATTTTAGCTGATTTATAATATAGTATGCAATAGGACAGTTGTTTTTTTTAGCAATTTTTAGCTGATCTATAATATAGGAATCACCATTTGGTACAGTGATTCTTTTGTATTTGACTAGTGATAATATAGGCAAGTCAATTTGAAATCAAAAATTACTGATTTTTAATTATTAAATATGTGTATTTTTTTATAATAAATGTTAGAAATACAATTACAACTGACTAACAACTGACTAAATGAAATTGGTTTAGTTAAAATAGATTCTAAATTAATGTACAAGAGAAAATTAGGATATTGGACATTCATACAGATACATAAAAAATCTGTTTACAAGAACCAAGCAAAAGAAATTCATGTTGCAGTCACTGATCTCAGAGTTTACACTTTTCTTACTTGATATTCATCCACAATTGACTATAAAAACATTGGTGACAATAATATCAATTATATTTTTCATGCATAAGAAGATGCATTAGAATTTAGTAAATGGAGTATATAAAAAACCTGTATTATGATTAACTCAAACTTTTGACATAATCATTTTATCAAAATTTATAATATATAGATATCTGTATCTGTCATAAATAAACAAGATCATTTCATTGAATTTTGTACTTACAGATTAATATATATTGTTTATTTATCTTCAATTCAAAGATCTGAAGTTTACAAGAAGAGACTTTATCAGGAATTAAATAAAAACATTCTACAACATTATATGAACACCATTTATATGGCATTCTTAGAATAGTACTAACATACTAAAATGCAATTTTTTAGTGTATTATTTGAATACTGTCACCAGTGGTTCCTGGTTTCCTTGAGAACAAACCAGTGATGTAACTTAACAGTTCTTTTAAAGAGTTTATAGTCCTTTTTCAAAAGTAAGACTGTTGTTCAGTTGTTTTAGAAGACACCACTGATTCAATTATTTTTAAAAAAGAAATCAGAACTATTATCCAATTTATTTCAATATCTTTCAATTTCATCATCACATTTAGTATTAACATTTATCCATAGATTATATTCCTGTTCATCATAGTTGAGTATTATTTCAATCCATCATAATTAAGTATTATTTCAATTCCAGGATTTGTGATATTTATTTGTAATTAATTTCATTAATTCAAGAATAACAATATTATACAATTATACAATCAAATATTTAATTTTATAATATCCATTATTTCTTTATTAACTATTATATTTTTATATTTAATAATTATTTTTTTTTTATGATTTTTATTTTATATTTCCAATATTTATTATTATTTTATTAATCCAATTGCAAGATAATTTTTACAAGTTTTTATTTTGGAGTTATAAATTATAAAATTAAATTTATTAATTTCAAATAAGTTACAAATTATCAAAATTCAAAATTATAAAATTGTAAACTAAAGTATTAAAGTAAAATCTTGATCCTTTTTATAAGTATTTAGATGATTTACATTACTGTATCATTACTGTATCTAGGATTGTTAATGGAGTAGTATACTCCAGAACAACTTTAGGTTATAACCTACTTCATTATAGAGTAGGTCGAGAATTTCAATTATGTAGTAACTTAGGTTATAATATAATTATAACTCCGGATTACTTCAGATAATTTACTTCAGGTTACTCCATATGGAACAATAATTTTATTGATTAGAATTTTAATAACTGATAATCAATTTAATTTTCATTCATAATTTTTTTTTATCATGAATAAAAAATCAAAAACTAGTGAAGATTTTTATAATACATTTTCAGATAGTGAACCTGAAGAATCTAACTTATTTGTTTGTTTTATTTCCTTAATTATATCTTTACATCTTCACAACATACCTCTCACCTTAAGTACTCTTGCAACAAAAATAATTATATTATTTTTTGAATATTAAGTTGATATTATATTGTAATAAGATAATGATAATAATAATGAAAATAAAGGAAACATCTGTTGAATCTGAGAAATAACAAGAGAAATTTACAACATTTCCAAACAATAAACAACTTTAGAAAAGATTAAAAGAAAAAATATATTTTGGAACAAAAATAAATCACCAATTTTGAAAAGAACAAGAATAATTATGACAAGAAATAAAAAGGCAATGAGCTAAAAAACAAACAACAAAAGAAGTAATTTGACAGATACAACTACAAGAACTTGAAATTATCTAGCAATTAGAAGTGGAAAACTATCAGAATCATCAATTAGAGAAAAAAGTTCAATAAAATCATCAATAAAAAGAAGAACAAGACATTAACTAGTGAGAAGGATAAAAATAAAACAAAAACAGAGAAGGCAACTAGAAAAACAACAAAGGAGAAAATCAATACAAGTAATACAAGTAACTTTATCTAAACTTTAACACCCACTACATCAAAATCATCTAAATCCCCAGAATCGTATATTACAAAGATTTCTACAATTTTCAAGATCTAACATTACTGCAAGCACAACATGAACTCAACCTACAGTAACCCATCCACCCACACAAGTGATAAAAGAGAAAGTTCATAATGTTATTCTGGTAAAAGAAGTCATACAGACTACTGTTATCTATTATTGATAATTTTAATAATTTAAGTAAATGTTACATGAAATTAGCCAATAGAAATCTATCTTTGAATCTACCCAAAAAAACTCAACAATTACTTTTACCTCAACAAGAAATGAAAGAAATAAAATAAATATTTTTTTTAATAAATTTTTTCTAATCAATGTACTAGGACAATAATTATAAGTAACCTGGAATAACCTGGAGTAGCCTGGAACAATCTGGAGTATAATTCAAAGTATAAATCCAGAGTAACCTGGAGTAGCCTGGAACAACCTGAAGTATAACCGAAGTATAAACCTGGAATATTTAATTCAAGTTAGGTTGGATTGTCCCTTACTTTGCTATAATATGAATTCAACCTAATCCACTTTGCTCCATTAACAACCCTAATACTTGGAACTAGTTTACACTGGTCAAATAAAAAAAAATCAGATAAAATTTTTAGATAAGACAGGAAAATTTTAAATGATATACAAATAAGCAAAGAGATTTGTGAATGATATATAAATAAGCAGGAATGATATGCAAATAGGTTAAGCCAATTTGCACCAAAATTTTTTGCCAATTTTTGATTATTTATAAAGTGTTACATGGTCATATATAAAGATATAATTATCATAACCCATTACAGCTAGATCACAGTTATAGACAAAAAAGAAAAAGTTAATAGTAAAATGGTTAGAAAGATGATATGCTAGATTTAGGAAACAATTGATATCTAAGATAGAGGAATTTGGTAAAATTGTAATAACTTTTATCTGAATTTCTCAAAGAAACAAATCACATGGAAACAACTGAGCATTAAACTACTACAGCAAAATGTTATGTGCAAATTAAAGAAAGCCCAGTTAAAGCCATTCTTGAATTTGATACAGCTGTTAGTATTATTACTGAAAACTGAGAAGGAAACTAAAAATTCAAATTAATGTCACCTCCAAAGTTGTTGTGAATGGTACAAAATAGGAATTGATCATGTTAATATTGCAGTTAAAGATTACAAGTCCCTATGAAACTGATTCTACTGAAGATAACTTGTTATTAGGAACTTGGTACTGATCAAATAAAAAAAAATAGGCAAGGGTTTTGGTGCAATAGGAGGTAAATATGCAAATAGACAGGAAGACTTGTAGATCATTTGCAAATAGGCAAAAAAATATATCCAAATTCTGATATCCTTAAAATGACTACTGCTTTTTCGAAGATTGGATTGGACATTACACAAATAGGCACAAATAGAAAAAGCCAAAAATTTTACCAATTGATTAATTATAGATGATCAATACAATCCATCCGAGAATGCAAAGTTAAAACAGACCCATGCTGCTGTAAGAAAATGTTTATTTTATATCTTCACTTATTCGTGTATTTTTTTTTTAAATAAAAATTTTTTGCAATAAAATTCTATAAAGATGTTTTTTTCTTTAAATTTGAGTTTATATGTATGATGATAATGAAAAGATTGAGATGTATAAAAAATCTTGAACAAATAAAATGCATAATAAATACAATAAAAATTAAAAAAAATTTCAATAAATAAATTGTCTATTATAAAAATGATAAAATAAAGATGAATAAATATGATTATTATTGTAATTGTATAATTTATGTAATTTATATTTAGTCGATATTCTTAAAGTAATATACAGCGTTACCACTGTTAATAAAGAAAGTAAGAAAGAAATAAATTTTAGTGCTTAAGAATGGTCACCGTACAAAAAAAATTTGAAAGAAACTTACCTGTCTACCATTATATCCGGAACTAAACCCTCCTTGATTATATTGATTATAGGGTGGATTATTATTGAATCCAGTAGGATTAAAACCTTGTTGATTTGGTCTTATTTGTTGTGGTGGTGCTCCAACCAAACCAAACCCGGGATTAGGGAAACCAAGATTATTTTGAGGAACGCCTGGATTAAATGTATTTATTCCTGTTTGATTCCATGTTGGTGTATTAAATCCACCTTGATTTGAACCATAGTCACCTTATTATTATAAAATTTTTATAGAAATTAAAGAAATCAATTAAAAACGATCGAAAAAACCGATTTCTTTTTCTAATGGTTCTTACCAATTTGGTTAGTAGGTATTGAATTGGTGAAGACGCTTGAAGCATGAGGGTCCACTTGTTTAAACGCAGAATATTTATCATTGTTAACTAAATTAAAAAAAAAAAGAAAAGAAATATTATTAAAAATTCGCAAAATTTTTTATGATTAATGACTTTTAAATTACCATCGGTTAAATTACTGGGCGGTATTTTGGGACCAATTTGACCAGCTCTCATTGATGCAAAAACATTTTGAGGATCATATATTGAAGATTGTGAAGATTGTTGGACTGTTTGTTGAGGGGAAGGTGAATTGAATGACGATGTTGGTCGATTGAGGTTAAATTGATTAATTTCGGGAGATTTATTATATGTAGGAATTGAATTTATTGAATTTGATGATATGCCTAAATAATTTAAATATTTAAGTAGCATAATAATAATTAGATAACGTTTTAATAAATTTAAATAACAAATTAAATAAATTGACTTACCAGTATTGTTCCAGTTGTTCGGGCTAGTACTGAGGAATGTTGAATTTGGTCCACTGAAATTGTTCATAAGTAAATTAGAACTTTGGGAAGGATTTGGTGTATTAAATTGTGATGTTTTCACTGATTTGGCGGGAATCAATGGTGGTTGAAGGGTTGCATTAAGGGGTACAACAATAGGAGGAGCAAGTGGTGGTGGTGGTGGCGGAGCTTGTGTATGAATCATAGACGATTGTGGAACCATTTGTGACTGAACTGGGGATACAGCAGAGGAAACCGGGGTACTTGAGCCCCAATTAAATTTAGAAGCAGTATTTGAATTTGCCATTGACTGTTGGGATAATAAAGGCGACACTGAACGTTGACGGGGTTGTGGTAGAGATGGTGGAATTTTGAAGTTTGAAATAGATGAATTTGCAGTTAAAAGGTTTGATGATGATGATGATGGTGGTGGTGGTGGTGGTGGTGGTGGTGGTGATGATACAGATGCAGGTTTTACAGGTGTGGTTGTTTTCCAAGCATTGTCCTCGAATTTATCGTTTTCAGATAATGGAGTTGATGGTGTAAATGCTGCATCAATCTTTTCTTTGGATGGAGCAAAACTGCTAGCATCAATTTGAATTGGCGCTGTCTTTGATGGTTGTGGGCGTGTTTTTTTGGTGTTATTTTTCAATACACCATTATTTTCAGAAAATAATAATGGAGCAGGTTTTTGTGAAATATTTTTATCCTCTTTTTGAATAATTGAATCCAAGTTACCGTATATATCAGCGGATTTTGGAACTTTACGTCCTTCACTACGAGCTATTCGATTTTCTTCCTCCTGAAGTTCTCTGGCCAATTGTTCATCACGTTTCTCTTGCATCTTACGGTCGAATTCCGATAAAGGTTGAGATTTTTCATATTCCTCGTTCTAAAACAAAATTATTTGAGATCAATTCAGAAAAAATTATAAAAAATATATTTGATATTACACGCTCACCTGAACCTTTTTAGTATAGGCTTGATCTCTCTTTTCTCCAGAATTTTCGTCTGGAATAATACTAGTAGCCCCGAAACTTACATTTTTCCTTCTTGACGGAACACAATTTTCGGTAATATATTTATTTATTCGAATTATATCTCCTTCTCTCACACCAAGACCTTTCATCAATTTACGGTTCAGATCTGGAATTGAACTTTCATCCATTTTTTCAAGCAGAAAAGCTTGAGCATATTCAAACGCATCTTCATGCGCAACGTCAGCTTTGAGAAAGAAATCAAACCAATCATAATCTGCCCTACGGCTGTTTGTTAAAGTCTCTTTACCCCTATGGGCAGCGGCAATAGCTGCCAAAGGAATATCGTCGGTTCTATCATCAAATTTCTCTCCCGTAACCTCTTCCAGATAAAGAAGGTCTGCTTTGCACATTCTTTCAACAGGTACTGAAATTTTAACACCATTGAGTTTATGAAGATGTACTTTTCCGTCTTCGTATTTGATAAATTGTGCTTCAGATTTAAAAGCACCAGTTCTATCTGTCCACGTTCTTGTTTTTGATGGTATGGGTTCTATCCAATAAAATAATAATAATTTAATCATCATCAAATATCCTCTTGAACAGAATATAACAAGAATATAACAAGAACATAATGAGAATATAACTAGAATATAAAACATACTAGATTTGGACTGTGCTTGTGCTGGTCTGTCTGGCAGTGCACGATTGGTGGGGGTTTGAATTTTTTTCACTGCTTCATTTTCTATTATTTTATATATTTAGTAAAAGTATTTAAGTAAAATGAATATAAATTACATAAATTACTAGAACAAATTAATTAAAAATTTTACCAAATGATGGTCTTGAGCGAACAGGTGGTCGACCTATAAATTTTTATCGTGTGAGAGAAATCAAAATGATGTTATAAAAGAGAATAAATCTAATTGTTCATACTTGGCAATGCTGGTGGGTTTTGTTCTTGGAGTTCCGCTTGTTTGCGTTTTTCTTCCGCTAATAACCTTTTTTTTTCTGCCTCGCGTCGTTTCCGCTCACTTTCTTCTCGTTTACGACGTTCTTCTTCTTTTCTTAACAGTTCTTCCTTTCTTAACGCTTCTTCCTTTATTGCCAATTCTTCTTCTTTTCTAATCTGCGCCTCCACGGCAGCACTGTTATCATCATCATCATAAACAACGTTATCTTCGCGTATCTATACAAATGAAATTTAAATAAATGGCTATATAGGTAAACATTTGAATAAATAATATTCGGATATGTAAAATGGGGTTCTAAATACATACTTCAATATAAGCGGAAGGTACAACGCCTTCTTTGTTGCCCTTACGAACTTTCCACCAATCCCTACTGCTAAGATCATCAATAATCCACAGTTCATCACCTTCACGTACAGTTAACTCATCATCTCCCTGTGCATCAAAGTCATACATCGCAACGCAAAATTTGGGTGACGATAATTCGACTTCATCTACTTCATCTGTTTCAGCTTCAACTTCCTGTTCTTCTACTTGTTCCTCTTTCTGATCCTGATCCTCTTCCCACTCCTCTTCTTGCTCTTGATGGATCGAAGGTTGCCGTGAAGGAAGCGCTGAAAGATCTATACTTGATCTTGTGGGTGACGATAATTCCAAATTGACTGTTGGCAATTTCATGCTTTCGTGCACCTTATTATAAATAGCTTCTGCTTCATTTTTGTTGTTTGCTTGGAAATCGAAATTGGCTGCTTTAGCACCCCCGAATGATATTATAACACGTTTTTTCTCATGTTTAATATCCACCAAATCACTAATATTCCATTGCTGAACAGGCGCCTGTTTATTTTAAGAAAAATGGAAATTAGCAAATGGTTTTTTGAATATTATAATAATCTCTTAAAAATGAATTTTGGAATGAAGGAAGAAAAATAATAAAATACCTTGTCTGATTCACTAGCATAGACAACTATATCACCTCCCACACTCAATGTACCTTTCTTTTTCTTCTTTTTTTTTCCGTTAATATTTTCCTATAAATATTGAGAATATTGAAAGACGTTAAAAATAAATAACTCTAGTTTTTTTAACTTATTCATCCCTTCTCTCTTTTTTTTGGATTAAAATCGAAAAATGGATACATTACCACAACTGACCATGTCTGGATTTTAAGTGCAGATGATCCACCACCAATTTTTTGACGAGAAACTTTATGAGCATATAATTCTAATGGATTTACATAATTCTGTTCTGTTGCACTCTAAAAAAAATAAAATTATGTCTTATAATAATTTTTAGAAAAAAATTTTAAAATTTAAAATTTAAAGTAAACCTACCGAAACAGCATCAAATAAGGACCTTCTTTGTTTGTTCTGTCGATTTTCAGAAATTTGTTGTTCATCTTCGTAAATTTCTTGTTCTTCTTCTTCTTCGTATCCAGTCTGTAAATTGAATTAATTAATTGTATGAAATCGGAACTTATTAAAACTCAAATCCTCCATTTTTTACTGACCTCTTCAACATAGGAAGCCGGCACATAACCAAAAGTATCATTGTGTTTAACTAAATACCAATCCTGATCATCTTTGTCGTAAAGATAAAATATATCATCCTCACTAAATGATAATCCTTCATCAGATTCAGCAACATAATCGTATATTGCTTTCAATACGGTCGAACATTCAGCCTGAAAAAATAATTGATAATAAAATAATGTTCCGGATTTAGATAATAAAAATAGTGATACTTGCGAAAAAAGCTATAGAAAAGTAAATTTTTTAACTTTTCGAGCCAGTTTGCAAGCACTAAGCCGAACCAACATCAAAACTACTTGATTCTGCTCGAAAATCCAGGATGCAAATGACGAACCTCTTGTATATAATTACTTGGTACAACACCGATCGGACCTTCGGCTTCACCTTCACCTTCTTTGATCTTTAATTTGGCTTTCCACCATTCGTCGTCGTCATTTTCCAAAATATAGAGTACATCGTCCTCCTTAAAAGATATCTCATCGTCATTTTGAGCCGAATAATCGTAAAGAGCAATACAAATGCTTTTATAGTTTAACGGCATCGATAAAGTTTGGGAAGTTATATGTATATATATAAATACATATAATTCGAAAATAAAAAGATTAAAAAATAAAGTAAAATTAAAAGAATTAATTTCAATATTGTGTATGACACAATTCGCGTAACACTAACCTAAATAATCCTCGGAAGTAAATCCAATTGGCTTTTCACAATTCACGGAACAAATATGGTATAGTGAGGAACGTGAAAAATCTGCGTGATTTTTTCACAAATGTTTTTCTTTAAACCGTACGATCTTCGCGAATATCGATTGTACAGGAATAAAACACATATTATTTTGTAGCCAGGAATAAGGCCGTTTTATCTATCTTAGAAATATCTTAGTAAAAAGTTCTCTCCGTACTTCGAAAATCGCGAGCGAAATCGAAAAAGTAGAAAAAAAAAATGCACAAAAAACTTGTGCAAATTTTTGCAAGTGGTGAAAATTAGTACAAATTTTCGCCTAATAAAATTTCCCACGACTGTATATGAATATAAAAAAAGTATCTAATTTAATGTATTTTAAATCAAAGAATTTACATCTTATATCAAAAAATTTCTGGTTTTAAGTAAAATAATTTTTGTCTTCTATGAAAAACTGTTTCTTCAAAATTAATTTTAAGATTACACATTTGATTTTGGGTACATGTAAAGCTCCTAATGTAATGGTTCAGTTTGGTTCTAATGTTGAACTGGAACTGAAGACAACATCGATTGTCCAAGCTTATTTCAATTTTGTGATTTTTTAATTCTTTTATTACAGTATATCAAAATCCGGTACTTCGAGTAATGGTAGTTAATCATTTTTTAACCATTGCTCTCTTCTTCTTTACCAATACTTTCTGTTTTCCTTTATTATTCACTACCCTTTTATTATTCCTATAATCATTTGGAGTAGTATTTTTCCATAATTCTTCATTTGTATCCATTGATCTAGTTTTCTTTCTTATACCAAGTTATCTAGTTCAAATGTTCTTCCTTTTTTTCTTAAATAAGCTTCATATGTTTCTCCTAATTCTTCTTCTCTGTACTTTCTTCTAAGTCTTCTTCCACTTCTACATATTTTACATATTTTTGTTTATCATTATTTTGTGAATTATTACTACTTCTTGTTCAATAGTTATTATTATCTCGTTTTTCATTATTATTTCTCCAATTATTATTATTATTTTTCCTTTGTTTTTGGAGATAATTTTGTACAATATGTCCTTTTCCACAATAATAACATGTAGTCTAAACTTCTGATTTTTCACTTGATCATTATTATTCTTACTTTTCAATACTTGTACTAATTTAATCTCTATTAATCTCATTTTTTCTGTTAATTCTTCTATGTCTTAGTTTTGATTTAATTTTTCTTTTATATTCTTCTTTTTCACTCTTTACTTTTTCTTTTATATTCTTCTTTTTCACTCTTTACTTTTTCTTCTAAGTCTGCAAAGTTTTCATAATACGTGATTAATCCTACTATCTCTTTTATACATATTCCCAAATTTGATTTTTGATTTTTGGGATATTTCATCTTTTTGAAATTTGCTCAAGATCTATTCTATATGGTTAAGTATATCTTTAATCAAAGAATTTATCTAGGTAGTTAAAAAATTTTGTATTTTAAGTAAAATATTTTCATTTTCTATGAAAAACTATTTCAACTTTTTTTCTCAAAATTGTAATTTCAGGTTTCAAAATAATTTTGTGTACAAGTATAATCACTTTGATAGTCCCAGGATTGTATATTTCTAGCTTACTAAATATTCTTTTTTGTAATTCCTTCTTGAAATATTACAGTTTCATTGCATTATTTAAATCTGGTTTACTATCTACCATTCTATTAAATACTACTACATAGTTTTCAATTGACTCTCCCATCCTTCGTTAGATTTGTTACAATTCTTTTATCTATCTATTTTTCTATCTTTGGTTACAAAATTTATTCTTGAATGAAGTTTTCATTTCATTTCATGTTGGCTAATTTTTTCATCTTGTATATTGATATCATCATATCAATTTAAGACCCTTCTTTTTAAAATCTTTTTAACTTTACTTTCCATGTATTTGTGTGTCAATTATTTACTTACACAACTCTTTCAAAATTTTTTATCTATTCAATTAGATCTTATTTTTCTAGTTTAAAATTATTGAGTCTTTTTATTAAACACAGATCAATATAAAAGATATACTGTACTGAAAAAAAAATTCCAATTTTTGCTGATTATAATATAGGATACAATAGGATGGTTAATTTTTACCAATTTTCATTGATTTATAGTATAGGAATTATTATTTGGTATAATGATTCTTTTGTATTTGACTAGTGAAACTTGTTATTGATTTGATATTATTTACTTTTTCTTCTGTTCCTATTATTCTTATTCTTTCTTTTAATTCTTTTAAACTTTCATTATTACTTTCTTGTTCAATAAGTTTTTTACTACTTCCTTCTAATTATATATCTAGTTATATATCTTTTAGATCATTTATGAAAATAATGTTTTTTCGAAACCCGTTTTTGTTATTATTTTGATAACTATAACCTTCTTTTATATTGTAACATGTTAAACTTTCATTAGAACTTCTTTCTGGTATTTCACTTAAGATAAAGAAGTATAGTAGTGAACCTTTTAGTAAAGTTCTTTAAGATAAAGAATATGTCATTATATTTGAATATAGTTTTTTTATTTGTACATTATATAAATATTTTTAGAAATATTTTCTATTATCTTTTAATGACTGTTGTAATTTTAATATACTATTTTTCCTGTTTTTTTTATAGAAATGATATTAGTTTCTTTTATAATTTTCTTGATTATTTTTATAGTCCAGTTTGGTTTTTATTAATTTTAGAATTTATTTTCATTGATAATTTATTTAATAATATTATCTTAACCTTACTTCAACTTCAGGTTTACAGCATTAATCAAATAAAATCACTAATTATTTCTAATAATTAAATTAATTAGTACTTCAAGTCAGATGTAACTCAACAAGTATTTTGTAATTATCAAGAAACTTTTTAAATACTTGAAAAATTAAATAATTAAAACAATATTATTACCAAGAACTAAAAAAGATTAAAAGAATTAATTCAAATTTTTCTTTTTCAAAACTGATTAACTAACCGATTAACTAATTATCTAATTAACTCTTGAGACTTAATTAAAAAGTAAAGATTTTTATAATTTTTTATTTGATGATCTTTTCTAATATTATTTTATTCTACTTTTTTCTTTTATCATCAAGATTTTTTTCTTCAGTATGAGACTTATTATTAATACTTATCTTCATATAAAATGCTTAGAGTTTTATAATAACTTATCATCTTCTGATATATTCTTTAATTTTGAATTTAAACTTGTTGATCTTCTTCAGTTTTCACACAGACATAATGGTCTAATAATTTAATAAGACTTATTGGTTTTTTTTATAAATTCAGAGATATTTTACTTATCTATTATTTTAGCTCAGAGGTATTAATACTTAACTTTTTTCTATAGCTTCCTACATCAGGAAAATTTTTCGGGGCGTAAATTTCCGTAATAAAAACGGGACCCACGGAAATTTACGCCCAAAAATTCAATTTTTTTGA